TATGTGTGCGTGTAAGTGTGGTGGGGAGATGGGGCTGTATGTCCAATCTAGGTGCTAAATTCAATACATACGTGTTTATGTGGACTTGAAGTAGTGTTAGCTAGAGCAAGAAAATCATAAAAAAATTAAATAAAAAATATGAATTTTATCTAAATACAATTTTACATTTACATTTTTTTTATTCATTCATTTACATACATTTATTCACACAAATACATTCATTTTTACAGCTTGTCCTCTCACTCATCTTGTCAATTCCAGCTTGTTTTCTCTTCTATGGTCTTCTGATGTCCTACTCATTCCTTTCCATACTGTGAAATTGAATGAAAAAGGATATAAGCACCAAAAATATAGTTCACAGTCTATATTCCAAGTCTTCTGTAGCTTTGACATGTCGTACCAAGTGTAATGTGAATGATGAGACATGAAGAGCAATTATGTTTAATGCCATTGATGACAAACCTTGGCACAACACTTCTTGAGGTGCCGTGTTTGTGTGTAGGAGAACATAAATGAGATTTGAGAGGAAGATTTTCGAGGCACTGAATCAGTTCAAACTGACTGTCCATTTGAACTGATTTCTTCAACTGAATCGGACCAACTCGAAACCAAAGTCTGATGGCAAAAGAGACCTTGATGAAGCAAATTGGTTAAATAGTGCATGTAAGAAAGGGGAAAAACGGTAACCACAGACGAAGTAATAAAAAGCCTGTTGACCTCTCATTGTTTTGTGGTCAGAGAGAGCTTTGTCATTCTTCTACCGCAGAGCTGAGCATGGAAAGGTCTGGAATGCCCCAAACTGTTGGGAACGTAACGGTCTTCATAAAAGCCTGCCAGTTAACCTACTCCACACACACACACACACACACACACACACACACTCACCTTGTTTAACCCCAACTCCCGCCTTCCCTGTGTTAAGGTTTATTGCATTGATACCAGATTGTGAGAGGGGGGATTTGAGAGGTGGTTAAAAGATGCAAGATTTAGCTCCACATTTTGAGCAAGCACAGAATATAAATTTCTAATCTTCCTTATTTGGATTTGTTTTGTTTTTGTTTTTGCTTTTTCTGGTGCTAGCCATTTGTGCTAGTCTCCTGATCTGCCAGATATTGTTTTTATATGTATAAGGAGGAATGACTGAAAAATGCATAATTTCACATGATATAAAACATTAAAAGGGTGCTAGGGGATTAATGGAAAAATTCAAGGAAAACAGACTCTATTTAAATGAAAGACAGTGGTCATAGATCTGTGTGCGTGCTGAAGTAACTGACGTCACCCCTGCAGGTTTTTGTGGAGGATTCGGCTCTCAGGGAGAAACACAGGCTATTGCGGAGGTGCTGTTTAAAGCAGGCCGGCTGGTTAGCTTGCTGGTCCACTGGAGACAGTAATGGCAGGGTAGCGAGCCAGAGAGAAGCCCTCATTCAAGCTACACTCAAAACGCTGATCTCTAATTAGCATCCTAGACCCAGTAGGGTGGTTCCTGCATGTGCGTGTGTGTGTGAAAGAGAGAAAGAGTGTGTGTTTTTGTATAAATCTGTGCTGTTTTTTTGTCTTTTGACCTCCATTATCACTCTCTCTTTGTCCTCCTCAGCTCTGTTTGTCTGTGTGTCGATGTGTGTGAATGTGAGTGAGCGTTTCTCTGGCTTCTTGGTCTATGGCGACTCCAGCGATCTGCAGGGTTAAAACGTCACTCTCAAGGATCAGATTACCAGAGTGAAACACAGACAGAGAGAGAGTGACAGGAGGCAGAGGTTTGAGGGAATACATGGATTGTCGTGTAAGTTAAGGAAGGAGTGAGGAATAAATACAACGAGAAGGAACTTTTTTTAGTTTACATTTTGAGCATTTAAGATCATGAGGCATCTTTTCCCTCAAATCAATCTCATTATTCCCACCCCGGTTACTGGTATCCATGGCAGTCACGGACATCGAGTCAGGTAGAGTGAGTTATAAATGTATGTGTGAGATTTCTTGGAAAAAGAATGTGTTAGTGGATGTTAATGTGTGTTTTATTTTTTTTATTAATACCTGATTTACATATCCTTCTGTCTGTGTGTTAGCCAAGCAAAGCGTGTTATAGATTTGTAGTTCGATTCTTTCAGGTTTATAGGATAGTGTGTGGGCATCTGTTAAGACTTAGTCCAGGCAGATTGTGGTTGAATGGATTTTTTTAAACACTCAAAGCCAGTCTATATGGGAATTATGGAGAAATCAGTGCCTTGTCCTTAGACTTTACATTTTTGTCTTCTACTAGAGAAAGTTTACATGATCATTTATACTGAATGCTGAGGCTGAGGAGTCAACATCTGTGCAACTAAGAGAACAGGAAAGCAAAAGAAAGTGTGTTGTTGCACATTCATGCACTCTTTAGACTAATATACTAGATGGATGATGGATAGATAGATGGATAGATATATGACATTGATCGCTAGATGGATAAATGGATAGGTAGATGGATAGACATAAATGATAAATGTATCAACAGACAGATAAATGTATCTGGATGGATGGATGGGCATGTATAGAATGACAGGTAAATGTATAGACAGATAGACGGATATATGATAAATGTATCAATAGACAAAAAGGACAGACAGAGACAGACAGACAGACAGACAGACAGACAGATAGATAGATAGATAGACAGATAGATATAGATGTCTTCTCTGTCCTCTGTGACAGATGGGGGTTAAAGGTCACATAGGTCACTTGTACTGTTGTGTGGCTGGTGTGTTTGAGTTGGTGTGTGTGTGTGTTTGTTTGTTTGTGTTTTCTTTTGTTGTCATGGTACGGTCTGAATGATGGTGGCCACCCGGGAGCGAGAGGATGGTGTTGAACACAGTGATCAGTTACTCTGGTTAGCCACTATGACCCTGAGCAGATCCAAAACTGTACAGTAAATGTACAGCATTAAAAGCCTATCATATGTGGGCTTCATAGACCTGTGATGTGGTCAAAAATCACTCAATAATCACTGCTAATGCTTTTTTTTCAGTCCAAAGATGTGTTTCTATATAATGTTTCTACATAGAACTTAATAAAAAGTTCCATACCATGGATATATTTGAAAACAGAGTCTCAGATAATGTCTAAACTTTTCTTCTTTTTTTTGCAGTTGGGATGACAGTAGTTCCGTCAGCAGTGGGATCAGTGATGCTATTGATACTGATGACATCAACACCAGCTCCTCCATAAGCTCTTACACCAACACCCCCGCCGCGTCCCGTAAGGGCCTGAACGGACAGGTATGACCCGCGCACATTTGCACACACACACACACACACTGTTACGCATTTATTTATGAAAACTCTGATTCAATATGAACCTTTGTGTAAAACCTGAAATTTGGAGCTCATAAGCATCCTAACATACTAAGCTTGTATGAATTTCTGGTTACACTTTATTCCAATACTCCACTTTAGATATTCTACTAACTAACTTTGTTTACTTGAACCCAACTCTCACATTCTCCTGCTTGAGACCCTCATAAAGTGCTAAATAGGTGCTGTTGATTCCATAGAAACTTGTGTCAATATTTAAGCCAAAGCAATTGACATGCCACATCACGGAAAAAATTCCTCTGGACTGTAATTTCTAATTATATTGATATGGTAAGTTTGGTTAGTGTGGGTGGGTAAAAAAACCCCTGCAAACTCTAAAACCACCAAATCTACTGCCCTGTGATGTGTGGAAGTTGTGACACATTTGTTGTTTCATGGTTGAGGTGTTCATTTTTAATTAATTTTGATATAGCAACCCTCTACGCACACCTTGGCAATATAATCGCCATTGGCTAGTAAATTTTTTTGTTTACTCGCCAGACTGATATACTATTTTACACACACACACACACACACACACGTTTACTTGGCTATCTAAATAGGGACATTACATAGACTTATATTGTTTTATATACAGATAATTATACTCTTTTTAACCTAAACCCACCCCTACCCCTAAGCCTACCCTTCACAGAAAAAAATCTGCATTTTTACAATTTCAAAAGTAAAAAAAAAAAACTTTGTTTACTTTATTTTTATAACAGTTTTACAAATGAGGACATGCACAAATTGAGGTTTTTGCCGATTTTGTCAGGTTTTGCTCACTTTTGGGTACAAATATAACTGATAATTTTTCAACTTTTGGATAACTGATAATTATAAAAATTGAAGCCTAATTCCTAAGTCACCTTAATACCAATAAATACCAATAAAGGTTTATCCATCTATCCATCCGTAGTATTTCTATATCACATCACTGTGGAAAATATGTGAATACTTGCTAATATGACTATAGCTCAATTCTAAAATTTGGTGCCTAATTCCTATGAATTAAGGAATATTTGTACTTGCTAAAATTAATACATTCATAATGTTGATTTGCAAGTTTGTATTGTTTTCTGCAGCCTCAGACAGATGCAGAGAAGCATTCAGCAGCTGAACACAACACTGCTTGGTCCAGTGATGAAGTTAAGAAGTCAGACGGGGGTTTGGATTGCGGCATCAAAATGGAAGCAGGTCTGAAGTGGCGGCGGAACCCTTCAGATGCTTCGGAGGAGTCTGATAAGAGCAGCTCTGGACGGAAAACAGCACCCATCACTCAGACGGGCTCCTGGAGGAGGGGCATGAGCGCACAGGTGGGCGTGACAGCACCGCGGACGAAAAGTACAACAGTAACCACGGCAACCGGCATGATTAAGACACAAGGGACAGGTAAGTGTTCTCTATCTAAGAGCATTTGGAAAACATTTAAACTGTAACTGGTCAGTGATGTTTGTTTTTATGCTCGGAATTCAGAAAAGAAGGATTAATCGATTTGGCTTAGTGTGATCCCTTCATCTGTCCTGACTTTGAGTCGCTTGTAACATGCAATTGGGAACAAAATATGCACCAACCATCTTCCCAAATGTGTAATAAAAATCACTTATAAACCAGCTGTTGTCAACAAAAGAGAAGCTTTAAAGGGTTAGTTCACTCAAAAAAAATGAAAATTAGCCCATAAAAAAGCCCATTTTTATTTAACTTCTTTTGGACTGATGCACTGCAACACGTGCTGAGTGCCATTAAACCGCTTGAAAGATCAAAGACAATTTTTAATATAACTCCGACTGGATTCGTCTGAAAGAAGAAAGTCATATACACCTAGGATGACTTGAGGGTGAGTAATTTATGGGCTGATTTTCAGTTTTGGGTGAACTAACCCTTTAAGGACTTAATGGTGTTCTGCCAAAATAAAAGCTTGATGGTTTAATGTTTGAAAAAAAATCATAATTTTAGAAATTAAAAAATGTATTAAAATTTGAAAATTATTTTATTATATTTTATAATACTATTATATTATATATAGTATATTATATAGTTATTGTATTTTAGTATTGTAATTATTAGCAATTTAATTTTACAGTTGTACTTTAAATTGTTTTCTTAAATACTGTTTTTTACAATTACAATATTTGTTTTTTGTTTAATATTTTTACTTGTTAATTATTATTATTATATAGTCATACATGTAATCAAAAAGAATCTGGCCAAATTGTGCAGCCCTAAAAACATCCACAGCAAACCTGGAGTTTTTTTTTCTCCTTTAAATCGCAATCACACTTTTTTATCTGTTGGACTGTAAAATACTTTTTCTTAAATAAATAAATCATTTAAAATTTTAATTATTTATAATTCAATAAATTAGGTATAAATTATTACAATTATTATTGTTGTTGTTTTTGTTGTTGTTGTATAGTCATATGGGTAAACAATTAAAAAATGACCAGACTGAGCAGCCCCAGCTTTTTTTTTTCTTCACAATTTTTATCAGAAAAATCACATTTCGATTTTTCCCACAAGTCATGCAGCCTAGTTTCATTTAATCAGACATTGACATCCTACAAACAGTGTTGACTTTATCTGCAAGTTTTATGCATTATCAACTCGTCCGGCTGAAACGTTCTTTTGTCCAATAGGTAAAACAGATGATGCTAAGGTCTCCGAAAAAGGCCGCATGTCTCCCAGTTCCAACATCGTCCAGCATTCCTCCTCCGACGCCGGTCGAAGCAGCGGAGACGAAGCCAAGAAAACACCCGCAGGCCGAGTCCCCACAAGCACATTTGGTTTCAAGAAGCCCAACGGCGTCCACGGCCCGGCCACTGTGGTAACCACCTCCAGCATCACTCTGGTGACAGCAAGCGGCGCCACCATTACCAGCGGCTCCGCCACCCTGGGCAAGATTCCCAAGTCCTCTGCCCTTCTGGCCGGTGGGAGAGGGTCATTAAAAGGGGCTGTGGATGGTTTATTGCCTCCTCAGGAGGATGGCTACCTGTCCCCCAGTGCTCGTTCAACACTGCAATACCGAAGTCTACCTCGACCCTCTCGTTCCGGAGCCGCGGCCCGCAATGGAAACCGATCGTCCACTAGCAGCATTGAGTCAAGCTTGAGTTCCCGAACACCTGTCCTTACTGCTGTCACGGCCAGCAAACCGAGAGATTCTGCCACTAAAACCAACGGGCACATAATCCAAGCCAATCAGACGGACAAAGAGAAGAACGTGGCATCAGAGATGGACAACCTGAGAACCAATCCGATTGTTTCGGGAGGAGGGGCGGCAACTATTCCACAGACAGTGAGACAGGGAAACAAGTATAGTGAGGTCTCATCTCCAACATTGCGAAGGTACAAAAAGGGACGGGGGCAACATACCACACACAGAATTTCACCCTCATAAATCAGAGTTTCCATTGATGCTTCCTCAATTAATAGCTCCATTCATCTTCTCAGGCCCCTCTTACACAGCCAAACATGTGAAAGAAGGAATGAGTTTTTGTAACCTCCTCCAGCTCCATGATTAGGGTCTTTCTGAAGCTGTTTACATAACCTGCTTTATGACAGTCATGGATCATGACTCTCCAGGGTGGCTCGCGTTTCCCTCTGCGCTGCTCGTGTTATTGATGAGCAAAGTGCTTTTAATCTTTTTCAACTGTTTTTAAGGATAGAACAGTGTTTTTCTTTTTAGCTTCGGGGTTAAAAGAGACATAAGCCAAGTTTCCATCCAATTTTTGCGATGCTTTGTTATCAACAAAGAGAATATGCATAAAAAAATGTTGTGAAATTTGCTGTCCCCAGCCTGTTTCCATCCAACTTGCTTTTTACCGATAAAATGGTGTGCGTGATGACGTCATCCCTAAAAAAAATATAGTCATACATGTAATCAAAAAGAATCTGGCCAAATTGTGCAGCCCTAAAAACATCCACAGCAAACCTGGAGTTTTTTTTTCTCCTTTAAATCGCAATCACACTTTTTTATCTGTTGGACTGTAAAATACTTTTTCTTAAATAAATAAATCATTTAAAATTTTAATTATTTATAATTCAATAAATTAGGTATAAATTATTACAATTATTATTGTTGTTGTTTTTGTTGTTGTTGTATAGTCATATGGGTAAACAATTAAAAAATGACCAGACTGAGCAGCCCCAGCTTTTTTTTTTCTTCACAATTTTTATCAGAAAAATCACATTTCGATTTTTCCCACAAGTCATGCAGCCTAGTTTCATTTAATCACACATTGACATCCTACAAACAGTGTTGACTTTATCTGCAAGTTTTATGCATTATCAACTCGTCCGGCTGAAACGTTCTTTTGTCCAATAGGTAAAACAGATGACGCTAAGGTCTCCGAAAAAGGCCGCATGTCTCCCAGTTCCAACATCGTCCAGCATTCCTCCTCCGACGCCGGTCGAAGCAGCGGAGACGAAGCCAAGAAAACACCCGCAGGCCGAGTCCCCACAAGCACATTTGGTTTCAAGAAGCCCAACGGCGTCCACGGCCCGGCCACTGTGGTAACCACCTCCAGCATCACTCTGGTGACAGCAAGCGGCGCCACCATTACCAGCGGCTCCGCCACCCTGGGCAAGATTCCCAAGTCCTCTGCCCTTCTGGCCGGTGGGAGAGGGTCATTAAAAGGGGCTGTGGATGGTTTATTGCCTCCTCAGGAGGATGGCTACCTGTCCCCCAGTGCTCGTTCAACACTGCAATACCGAAGTCTACCTCGACCCTCTCGTTCCGGAGCCGCGGCCCGCAATGGAAACCGATCGTCCACTAGCAGCATTGAGTCAAGCTTGAGTTCCCGAACACCTGTCCTTACTGCTGTCACGGCCAGCAAACCGAGAGATTCTGCCACTAAAACCAACGGGCACATAATCCAAGCCAATCAGACGGACAAAGAGAAGAACGTGGCATCAGAGATGGACAACCTGAGAACCAATCCGATTGTTTCGGGAGGAGGGGCGGCAACTATTCCACAGACAGTGAGACAGGGAAACAAGTATAGTGAGGTCTCATCTCCAACATTGCGAAGGTACAAAAAGGGACGGGGGCAACATACCACACACAGAATTTCACCCTCATAAATCAGAGTTTCCATTGATGCTTCCTCAATTAATAGCTCCATTCATCTTCTCAGGCCCCTCTTACACAGCCAAACATGTGAAAGAAGGAATGAGTTTTTGTAACCTCCTCCAGCTCCATGATTAGGGTCTTTCTGAAGCTGTTTACATAACCTGCTTTATGACGGTCATGGATCACGACTCTCCAGAGCTGCTCGTGTTATTGATGAGCAAAGCTCTTTTAATCTTTTTCCACTATTTTGAAGGATATAACCATGTTTTTTTCCTCAGCTTCAGGGGTTAAAAAGGGACAAAGTGAACATTAAAGGTTGAAAATAAAGAGAAATGGAACTTAGTAAGCATCACTCTCCCTTAGTATGCATATTGCTCAAAACAAAACACATAACTCTTTGTATTAAACTTCTGTGTTTAACTTGTCCTGCATGTTTGCGTTATATACTTGATCACACTTTTTTCACAATTTTTTTTTAGAAAGATTTATTTATTATGAAAGAAATTAATGCTTTAATTCAGCATTGATTAAATGTTACAGTAAAGACATTTGTAATGTTGCAAAAGATTTTTTCATTCAAAATAAGTGCTAAACTTTCTGTTCATTAAAGAATACAAAAAAAAAATTAAATAAAAATTATCATAGTTTCCACAAAATTATTATTTTTTTTGAGCACCATATCAGCATATTATAATTATTTGAGGATTTGAGTTAACGGCTGCTGAAAATTCAACCTTTTTATCACTGGAATAAATGACATTTCAAATTATAATAAAATTGAAAATTAGGTTATTTTAAACTCTAAAATTAGGTTATTTTAAACTCTAAAAATAGGTTATTTTAAACTCTAAAAATATTTCATAATACTGTTTTACTGTATTTTTGTTCAAATTGTTGAGCATAAGAGACTTCTTTGAAAATAACTTTTAAACATTTTACCAACTTCACATTTTTGAATGGTAGTGTATATGTACACAAGCTTCTTAGTGTAAACTAAAATGCCTTTCCATTTTACTTCTATTTTACGCTACCTTGAGAATCCACCCATTCAGAAATGAAAGGATCTGGATATTATGTTTACTCATGATTTCTCATTCTCTGTTTTGCTATTATTTTCAGATTTACTGAATGTTCAGTTTTATTATATTCTCTGTTTCTCTTTCTTCATCTCTCAGACTTTTTGGAGGTAAGGCTGCTAAACAAGCCCCGGTCACCACTGCAGAGAGCATGAAAAACTCAGTCGTCATTTCCAACCCCCACGCTACCCTTGGGCACACCCAGTCCTCCGGTGGGCCCTTGGACTCCCCCTCCACAATACCAGGCAGCGGCAGCAGCAGTCCTCTGTACGGGGGTCGCGGTGCCAGCATAGGGGGCAGCGAACAAGCTTCGAGCCCTGGTTCGGTGTACTCAACGGGCACTGGGACTTGGGGCACCACCATCAGCAGCTCTTCGGCTCTCGGCTACCCCTCCGTCAGCAGCATGCACACCAGCAGCGAGTCCATCGACATGTCAGTGGGCAGCGGGCATCACCGTGACGATGTTCACCCGGTACTGATGAGAATGAGTAGTGCTAAGACAGGCATGTCAGAGAGGTGAGTCTTTGTACTTTTTTATCTGTGAGACTGGTCTGGGTTAACACTAAAATATTGTGATTTATAATTCAGAATTTTTGTGCTAATCTGAATTGGATTTTGATTCTGAATTAGAATGAGTTCTTGATTCTGAAAAACATTTTCACTTTGGGGTAACTGAATCTCCTAAATGATTTTTCCTATGTCCATGGAATACAGGAGTCACTCCTGAACTCACACTCACATGGTGATGGCCATAGCAGAAGAGACATGATAGCCGCAGTCATAATCATAATTCTGAATTGGAATCTACAGTAAACTCAAACTAGAATTCAGATTTTGATTCAGATTCTGATTTGGAATGGCTATTCAGTTCATAAGTTATTTAGGACTTTAGGTTTACACATTTTAATTAAATCACATCGCAAATCAGGAAACCAATTTCGATTCAGTGTTATTTTAGTATTATTTTTATACTATTATAATATTTATTAATGTTTTTAATTAGCTTTTATTTGTAGGTTTTCATTTTAGTCTAAGCTTTAGTATTTTTATGTGCTTTTGTCTCTTATATTTAACTTTTACAAGTTTTTATTTATTTGTTATTTATTTTATTTAACTTTTCAAGTATTTTTAGTTTTAGAAATGTTAGTACTTAAACATGTATTTCAGGTAGTTGCTAAGGTAGCATTTCTAATTTTCATAATTTTTTAAGGGTTAGTTTTCATGGATTTATTTCTATTCTGCTTTATTTTTTATTTCAGAAAATGTGTTTTAGTTTACAATACAACACCGTTTCAACTCAGATTCTGTTATTTGATGTTTATATTTTAATTTATAGTTCTAATTTTAAATTGAAGTTTTGTTTTGTTTTTTAATGTATTGAAAAACTGTTTATACCTACATTATGTAATCTACAAGAAGAAGCATTCTGAATCGGAATCCAAAACAGAATTCTGATTATAATTTAGTTTATACGTGTACTGAAGTCAGTTGGTGTTTGTTGAAAAACCAGATTGATGGATAAACTTTAGGTTTACACATTTAAATTGCACCATTCTATCACAGTGCTCAGAATAACTTACTTAACACACTTTATCAGGTTGAAGAACATGATACTGCAGTGTGGAAGCCTCTTTGTGTGTCTCTAATTCAGTATTCATCTCTTCTCCAATGCTCTTTTTGTCTATCGACCCTCTCCTCTCCCCTCTACTTTCCCCAAGTCCCCTCTCCTCTCCCTCTGCGAGTCCTAAATTCAGCCGTAACACATTGCCACGGAATCAAGACAGGTAAAATGTCTGATAGCTTTTGGGTCCGCCGGTGCTGCTTTTTAATACTGACATGGCTTTGTGTCTTGTGTTTGCACTATTTTATAGTTTTAAAGACCCCATGCAATCAAAATTGGGGTTTTGTTGCTTTTAGTCCATGTCTCTTAGTTTTGGGGCCATTTATGTGATAGCAAACGTCTTTCTTTTTTGAAAAAAATTGACCAAAACAAATCTACTCTTGCGACACCTCGTGGTAAAATCCATAACTTTCCTCAATCAAAGCCAGAGCTTTGATTAAAATGATGGTTTGTTGGCTTTATGATTAATGTGACGGCACAGATCAAGACCCTTATGATTTCTTGATGAGTCAAAGGACAGACCAAATGATAATCACCTTGCAATTATAATTAAATTAAACCTTATTATCTGTCTGGACCAACCCCTTATGATTGAGAAAGCTCTACAATCACTCTCTCACTCTCCCCCAAGCGGGGACTCAAGTACAGGTGCATTGTGGGAATGTGCAGATCCTGCTCACTGTGCTTACTGTACTGGCAACTCACGTTCTCCTTCTTTCTATCTCTTTTTCTCGTGCACATGCTTCTATGTTTTAATATGCAGTGTGGCCACAGTTTTATTTTTGAGCACTGTTTTCTGTTGCAGTTTTGGTGTGAGTGCATGGCACTTGTCACTTTTGTAGAGAGTTTGTTTCACATTATGGAGTACTGTATGTGAATTAGCAGCTTTTTTGGGAAATTTCTGTTGTTCTTCCCACAGTTTTATATAAAAAATGTTTTGCAGTCTGCAGTGTGTGAGCATTTCAAACTTGTACCCAAACTTTTATTTGTAATTCCTTTTACACTCATGCTATTGCAAGTTAGTGATGAATTTTAAATAATTATTCACATTATGAACATTAATGTTTTTTGTTTTTTTTGTAAATACAATATATATATATATTATACATTAATGTTAGTAATAGATGTCCTAAAATGTAAAATATAAATATATTTTCATATGCTCTACCATTCGAAAGTTTGGGGTCGATGAGATTTTTAAAAATATTTTAAATGTTTAAAAAGTCTCTTATGCTCACCATGGCTGATTTTTTATATATATATATATATATATATATATATATATATATATATATATACAGTAAAAACTGTAATATTCTGAAACATTTTTACAATTTAAGATAACTGTTTTATGTTTTAATATATTTTAAGATATTGTAATTTATTAAAGAAAATTAAAGAAGTAATTTATTCCTGATGGTAAAGCTAAATTTTAAGCATCATTACTCCAGTCTTCAGTGTCACATTATCCTTCAGAAATCATTATAATATGCTGATTTGGTGCAAGAAACATGTCTTATTATTAATGTTGAAAACAGTTGTGCTGATTAATATGTTTGTGAAAACCATGATTAAAAAAAATTTCAGGATTAGCCTATTTGACGAATAGAAAGATTTTAATCTTTTAATCTTATAATCTTATAAATGTTTTAATGTCACTTTTGATCGATTTAATGTTTCCTTGCTGAATATTAGTGTTCATATCTTTCAAATAAACATTTGAACAGTAGTGTCAATATGTCATATTTAAAATAAAATACTATAATATTACAAATATCAGAAAAAAACATTAAAATTAGAATAAATAAGATTACTTTATATGTACTAAAATGACTTTATCTCCTCTCAAATTGGTCAGGTGTCAGATCACAATATTTGTGACATTTGAATGCCGGCATCTGATTGGATGGTCCTGTTGTTGCAGGTATGCCCCTTCACCACAGCTGCGTCAGGAAGAGGCACGTGATTGGCTGCGTTTACATTCGGCTGGTGGTTTGCAGGACTCAGCCAGTAACTCTCCCTTCTCCACCGGCTCCAGCTTGACGTCACCATCCGGAACGCGATTTAACTTTGCTCAACTTGGTATGCAAATGCATATACTGTGAATATATAATACTTGATATAATACATTTTCTGTCCATAGTCTGTGAAGATGATTTGACTCAATATTTCTGAAATGCACAATATGTTACTTTTCACTTGCATGCCAATATATCAGAAATAATAGAAAAACAGACTTTACCTAAGTGTGCATTTTGCTTTAAAAAAGAATTAGGTTTTGTACTATTATTATTTGTCTTGTCCTACATGATGAAGTGCCATTGTGTGTTATTTACAGGAAGCCCCACCACAGGTGCTCAGATTAATCTGGCCAGCCTGCGCAACAACAGCCTGACCAATCAGGACAACCCGCTGGACAGCCATGGTGATTCCCGTCTGCGCAACTCCTGCATGTCGCTGGACGAGAAGACGCGCACCATGAGCCGGTCGGGATCCTTCAGGGACGGGTTCGAGGAAGGTGAGAAAAATAAATGCAAGAGACAGTGGATTGATTTATGCTCTTCTCTACTTTGTAAATGTTACATTTCATTCATGCAGTCATAATCCTCAAACCTGCCACATTAGCTCTTCTGAAACAAAGTGAGATACCTGTTCTGATTACTATCTGTGTAGTCAGCTACCTTTTGAACCCCATAAGTGACTGTTTTCGAAATTGCAATGGCTTGAATGCCACACAAAATAGCACAACTCGTACAAACCACAATATTTTCCGTTATAGTTTCCCAATAGTTGATGTTAGAATGTTGCTAAGCTAATAGCTAACAAACATAAATAATACATAACACACAGAAATATTGGATGAAATGGTCACTTTATAATAAGGCTGAAGTATTTATGGCAATGCTTTCCAGTATTAAACCATCTTGAATTATTGTTTCCATTGCAGTGCATTCTGGGATTACTTTATCCACAAATGATTACTGCAGTGCTTTATAATTTGGCCAAAACAAGGTATCTTAGAAGGCAGCATGATGTTTTTGTCTATGTTTTGGAAGAGTCGCACCTGTTTAATGCTTATAAATGTTGTCTAGGTGTTCAGCTCACTCATTGTTGTTCTTAAAGACAATAGAAGATAGGCTTTTATAAGAAGAAGGTAAATGATCTGCAACAGCTTGTCAGCTTGAACTCTGTGCTGAAATACAACTCACAGACAACTGGATCTGTCTATCCTCAGTCTATTCACCCATTTGACTAAATCAACAGTCTCTGTTCTCCTCTCCTCGACTTTTTGAATAATCATTGTGTGAATAGAGCTTTATGTTACATTTTAAGTCATTCCAATTTTCCACTCAGTCCAGACCACCTGTTCACGCGTTTACCTGTTACGAGTCTCTCCTTTAAGAACAGGAAGATGTTTGCCAAAGACAGTTAAGCCATAAACTGGCCCCTGTAGAAAAGTGTAAAAATGACACTCGCGGCACAGTAACCCAGTATTACCCAACTGTGCCTTTTGTGACATCTGAAACCAAATACAGGTTAAAAGCCATGTACGTTCTCTTCAGAATCAAAATATGATACCGTATGTGTGGCACAGACAGGGGACTGAACTCTGTGACTCTGCAACATGAGTGTTGTAAAAGTCCCAGAGGGATTGTGGGAACAGGTTTAAGAGGACTTGATCCACACACAGGAAGAAAAGAAGATGCATTTCATATCCTCAGCCTCTGGCGGTTATGATCTATGTATGTATCTATCTGTCTTTCTATCTGTCTGTCTGCTTTTGAAATATCTTGTAAATACCATAGTAAATAACTACCATCAGAAATTTATTATAATATATTTCATTATAGGTTAAGTGGACAAGTGTAAATCTCAGCCAGTGATTATATAGGATAAATTGGACTGTGCCACACCTCCAGATGGGCGGCTCTACTTACCTGCAGAGGTGTTTTAACAACAGTCTTACTCTGGCACACGTGTAGTGAGTCTTCAGTTCAAATGAGGTTGATTTCAGGAACTTAGGTGGTAGAGATCAGATTTACTGAAGTATAAAGAGTGGAAAATCATGATGATGGCGACTCTCTCTATGGGGAGAGCTGTGACTTCTTGGGGATACACGGTAGGAACCTTAGTTTTTAGATTGCTCCTCTTCTATATTTATATATTTTACAAATCTTTCATTCTTAGTTAAGTACCAGTAAATAGGAAACTAGTGGTCTGTACTGACTTGAAAAGTGTATCTTGTTGGACTTCGCTAAATAGAGAATTGACTCCACAGTCTGTATTAATGCAGATCCAAAATCAGATTCAGGTGATTTGTCTGAAGCTGGAGGCTGTAAGGTGTGTTTGTTTGTGTATGTGGGCAACAGCTGTCATGCAGAAACATAGTGTCTCTTAGACGCAAACATGAAATCTCTGTGGTGCTTTTGAAAATACGGATTCATTCTGTACTACAGAGTACTGAATGTTCATCAAAAGACAGATATAATGGCATGGTAATCTTCAGTCTCAAAGACAACAAAAGCTCAGAGATTTCAAACAAAGCTCTTCTGATCAGAGTTGCATTGACAAAGTCACCATGTTGAGTCTGTATGATCAGACACATTTACAAAAAGCAAGACTTGATTAAACCGAAACCAGCTAGACGCATCTGGGTTTGTCCCAAATGCCATGTGATGCTGTGATGGACAGACAATGCTGCTATTTTAATGGCACTGTCAGTCTCTTAGACAAGTGTCAACGGCAAAGAAAATCATTATAGTGGGTGTCATTACATGCATGTTTGCCAGACGACATACAGAGAGTTCTAGTATGCTATTGTTGTCTAGAGCATTCAGTTGTCAGCAAGCATGCTTATTCACCCGAAGATTTCAAAAGGTGGATTCAAAATATGATTTAAAATCTAAAAAAAAATGTAGAACAAAGAAACGTTATGATATAATATGAATCAGAAATATTTAATACTGGACATTATTTCTAGATCACTATTCAAATAAGCTAATTTGTGACTTTTTTTGTACAAAAGGTCAGATGTTCTTCGTTCCACTGAATCTGTAATTACACAAACTGTATTTTTTTAATTCAGTTTTTCACTCAGATTATTATGCTGATAATACATTATAAAATCAAAAGAAATATTTGTATTAAATTGGTAAAAAGAAGCATCTTTACTAGTGCTCTCACACTTGTGTATTTAAACTAGGCTTTTTTTTACGTATATGTTTATGTCGGTATCATTAAAGTGCTTCTGGGTGATTCCCATTGTCTAGTTACCAACTTCCCCGCAAATCGATGTGTTCAGTGATATTTGAATGTGTCCAACTTCCTGTTTATCTGCTATGCAGTGTTTCTCAGCCAGGGGTCCGTGGACCCCTAGTGGTCCTTGACATAAGGCCAGGGGGTCCGTATAAAGTATGAATTTTTGTATAAATTTTGTATATTTTGACAAGACGTTCCCATGAAAGTAAAATCCAGTATAGCTAATGATATGACCAAATACTGGACTGAATTATACTTGACTGCATTTTAGGCTTTTTTTACGTATATGTTTATGTCGGTATCATTAAAGTGCTTCTGGGTGATTCCCATTGTCTAGTTACCAACTTCCCCGCAAATCGATGTGTTCAGTGATATTTGAATGTGTCCAACTTCCTGTTTATCTGCTATGCAGTGTTTCTCAGCCAGGGGTCCGTGGACCCCTAGTGGTTGTAGCGGATCAGCTCATGGGGAAATATGAATAATTAACCATAACTAGTTATAATTAACTATTCATATTTTAGATCCACTGTAGATATTTAGCTGACCACTCAGGGTCAACCGTCTTGTCAATTCTAAGAACGTTAATTTCCTGGTTAAAGGAAATAACCTTCTTACTGTACAATTCTATAAGTTTGTAACGTAAATCTGCATGATTATTGACTCCGGTTATGAGTAAACAATGAACACGTCAAGTGTGATACAAGTAAGGTTTTATTAACTACATAAAAACTTAAACTAGTCTAACATACTACACAAACACATTAAGTATAGCTAATGATATGACCAAATACTGGACTGAATTATACTTGACTGCATTTGGTCCTCACAAAGACACAAATGATACATAGCTGAGTCAGTGTTGTTCTGGGGGTCCTTGAGGATGATTTAGAATTGGACTGGGGTCCGGTACGCCAAAAGGTTGAGATTCACTGTGCTAGTGTACCAGTAGACATAAATCATAGGAAAAGGAAAAGTCCCTCTCTAGAGCTTTAGGGTTAGCATTCTGTTCACTTTCAGGTGTGTGTCGCTGTCTCTGGTGTTCATTTTATACCCTCAGGAGAGAAAGCAGCTCATTTTTCAACTGTTAAACGAGAAAAGCTGTGCAAATACGCTGTTTAAATGTGCCAGTAACTACTCTGTCTTTTTATTTTAACAGACGGAGGAGAAATCACAGTCAGAGGTGAGGACATGTTTTTCCTTTCATAAAAACAACACACACATGGGCCCCCCACATACCTGTGAACCGCATTGCTGTCACCTGTAGCATATTTATTCACCACCATTGACCTGTTGTGAACACAAACTGTGGGCGGATTCACGGTCGGCTCTCATTTCGCCGCACATCTCTGTGATCTTCACATCCACCTGTGCAGCACACCTCTGTTCTGTACATACACCTGCAAACTGTTTCCCCCCTTTGATACCAAATCACAAAGTTCTCTTTCCCTTGTGTGCCTCCTTTTCCTCCTCTTTTCATCTGCGTTTTTTTCTTCCTCTTTTCTCTCCAGATCCGCAAGCTGCGTCGAGAACTGGACACCTCCCAGGAAAAGGTGTCCGCCCTGACAACGCAACTCAGTGCTAATGTAGGTGGACACAGATGCATAGTTCTGAGATGGCTCTTTATTCTTTTATTATATCTACAGGGCATAAATAATTCCAAATTCTGTATCTAGTGTCAGTTGTCATCCTGAGGCATCTTATAAATGGTGTTATCATAATTCCAGTGACGCCTGTGTGGGTTGTGTATTTGATTAATGTCAGCGTTGATCATGACCTCATTGGAGTTTCCATTTGTCATTATCTGACCATACAATAGCGCTACGTCTTAGGCAACACTTGTTATTGTAAAACTTTTTCCTTCACTTTCCATGTACTTACACGTGTAGTTAAACCTGTTAGGTTAAGAAAAAATAAACTTGTTTTTAGCTTTTAGAGATTGCTCTAAAATAAGTAATAAATAAGTAATAAATGTAATACGATTACATTTACGAGAAATAGTCATAATGTGAGATGTACAGTTATAATTGTAAAATGAAGTAGCAATTGCAAGAAGTAGTCACAATTTTGAGGTATAAAGTTGAAATTGAGAAAAAAAAAGTGACAATTGTGAAATATAATGCTATATTGTGAGATACGAAATGACATTTGTGAGAAATGGTCGCAAGTTTGAGATATGCTGTAAAAGTTGTCATTTTAAGAAAAAAGTCAGTTATCAGAAAAATAGTCCAACTGTGAGATATTAAATTAAAACTGTGAGAAGTAGTCGCAATTTTGAGGTATAAAGGTCACAATTATGCCAAGAAGTTCATTATATTTTATTGTTTGTCATTTTGTGAGATAAAACTACTTTTGTTAGAAATAGTCACAGTTTTGAGGTAAAGTTTAAAAGTCACAATTATCAGAAGCAGACACTATTGTGATATATAAAGTCATATTGGTAGGGTTAACATTTCTGAGGTACAACATTTGAGCAGGGTTGGGGAGTAACGGAATACATGTAACGGCGTTACGTAATCAGGATACAACAATCTAGTAACTGTAATCCGTTACAGTTACATCAAAAAACAATGTATTCAGATTACAGTAACATTTTGTAAAAAGTGGGAATACTATCAGGATTACATTTGTTTCATTTAAAATTAAATAAGTTAGTATTTTGACGTAACGCTATATATTTGGCGCTGCCTCATCATAGTTCCTTGTTCTGTTGACAAGTGTTGACTCATGTGAGCCGCCTGCTAGTGCGTGCGCAAATAACACCCGTCTACAATGATTCTCCTCAAACGCGGGATGAGATGCTACTACAGTAAATTACGATGCTTCCTGCTGGGAAAAGCGTTTTCATGTCTGGAAATTTCAGTTATTTTGTTTTCAAAGAGAATAAAAAAAATAACATAGTTGTACCGCGTAAGCTATGCATGAAGACTCTTGCTTTAACAAAGGCTACTTAACCAACTTGAACATTTGCAGGTACGAGTCCGATATGCATGGAAATCATCATGTTATCTAAAATTACATTTCGTTTGTTAGTGATTCAAAATTCCATGGTGTGCATGACTGCAGTTGTAAGTTTACTAGTGGAAAATGAGCCTGAAAATTTAGAAATTAATGAGTCCCCACACCCCGGATCAGTCAATGAAATAAAGAAAGATCATAGCATTTCACATGTATTTCGACATGTAGACTTATTTTAAAATAGACTAATATGTATATGGTGTAATTTTTTTTATGTTGTGTATAAACTATATTTATTTTTACTTGTACATGTTAAAGAAATAAAAAATAATAATAAAAATAAAACTGTAATACTAAACTGTATAGCCACTAGATGTCTGCATAGCCTTTTATATAAATATTTGCAGGTACGAGTCCGATATGTATGGAAATCATCATGTTATCTAAAATTACATTTCGTTTGTTAGTGATTCAAAATTCCATGGTGTGCATGACTGCAGTTGTAAGTTTACTAGTGGAAAATGAGCCTGAAAATGTAGAAATTAATGAGTCCCCACACCCCGGATCAGTCAATGAAATAAAGAAAGATCATAGCATTTCACATGTATTTCGACATGTAGACTTATTTTAAAATAGACTAATATGTATATGGTGTAATTTTTTTTATGTTGTGTATAAACTATATTTATTTTTACTTGTACATGTTAAAGAAATAAAAAATAATAATAAAAATAAAACTGTAATACTAAACTGTATAGCCACTAGATGTCTGCATAGCCTTTTATATAAATATACGGGCTGTAATATCTAGATGGTGAAACAAGACACGATTTTTAATAGTTTCAAATAGTTTTACTATAGTTTTTTATTAGTTTTCATTTTAAAGTTATAGTTAAATAAATGTACTTAGATATTGCTTTTTGACTTATTTACATATGTAACTTGAAGTAATCCAAAAGTAATCAGATTACATTACTTTTATATTGTGGTACTTGGATTACGTTACTGAATACTTTTTTAATGAAGTAATTTGTAACTGTAACGGAATACATTTTAAAAGTAACCTTCCCAACCCTGCATTTGAGAAATAGTCACAATTTTGTGGGCAATCGTCAGAATAAAAGTCGCAATTATCAGAAAGTCACAATTGTAAGATGTAAAATTACATTTGTGAGAAATAGTCGCAATTTTGAGGTATAAAATTGGCAATTTTTAGAAATTATTAGAAAGTAACGTACAACAGAAAAAGTCACAATTATGAGAAATAAAGTCACAACTGTGAGATAAAACTTGTTTTAAGTCACAATTATAAAAAAATAAGTATTATTGGGGGCCACTGTATATTTAGAAAATATAACATACTAGACTAAATTATAGTATACTGTGAGACTATGCAGAAGATCCATGACATTTCCACCAGAGAAACATGGCTGTGTTTGATTTGATGTTTTATGGCTATAGACAAAGGCGAGTACAGACCATGTTAAGTGTTTTTGATATGTCCTCCTAAAGATAAATGCATGTGTAAATCATAAAGACATGTCTGTTATGCCTAAGGCATAGGAATCTTGTCTTGTAAGTGCAAACTAGAAGATTTTTTTAGAGATACTAACAAAAGAGGAGTTTAAATGTGTAGTATTAAGACAAGATTTTCTATTTTTGCTGCATTGTTGTCATTTCTTCTATTTCAGGCTTGTGCGTAATGGTTTCTGACATAATGTAGTACACCATGAACTTGTCAACTTGTTGAGAGCAATGTCAGTTTTTGACTGGCAGGGAATGAGGTGAAGGATTATTTTTGTGAGTAAGACGTATATAGAACATTGTTTCGATTTGGTATGCAGACAAAACACTTTAGTGGGTGTTCAGCTACAGAACAGTGAGAAATATCCAAATAGAAAGAAAAAGAATGGTAAAAAAATAAAAAAACACACAACGGGGCCCTTGAGACACCAGTAAAACATGTCAAGGCCCCAGGCGGCCTCATTGCTTTGTCTGTCTCAGTTATCAGTGTTAGGAGGAGCTTTGCAGCTTCTTAATATATCGCTGTAGTTTAGTTATCAGAATCTGAGCTATCTATGGAACAGCAGAAGAGCTCTAGTGCTTGTTCTGACGGGACGGGCCCTCTGATCTGGCTCCCTTTGAACCGCTATCCTTCCCATGGGTGCTCAGAGAAACACGCTCCCTCTCAGAAAGAAAAATATAGACAGAGAGGCTTTACGGAGACAACTGACAGCTCCCCAGACCCTCTTGGATGTGAGGTGAGGCGATGACCCAGAAGAAAATTGTATGTTTAGTGGAGTTTAGGAATATTAGCTTTGAAAGTTTTAACTTTGACTCTCAAATTTTCTTTAAAATATCTCACGAGAAATAAAACAAACAATTGAGACAATTGCTCGTACATAAAAATAAAAGGTTACATTCAGAAAATTTGTTCGTAGAAGAATTTGATAGGAAAGAATATATTGATAGAATAGAGTTTGATTTCATGTTCACTCAAATCTCTGGCTTTTAGAGGATGCATTTGTAAATATTCAGGTTTTAGACAGGTAAATATTCAAGTCTGACAATCAAGAGACTTAAACAAAAGTCTCCAGTTGATCTCCATTTATCCTCATTGCAGTCTGGGAGAAACACTTGAGATATTTAAAAGATCATTTGTAATTGTTTTCATTCCTATGGGGAAGATTAGATTTAGAAGGAGAGGCAAGCTGTAATGAGAGGGTAAATGAGGTTTCTGTTGTCGCATGCCAGTCTGGGATATGGGCCAAAGTTTAGATTGCACGTCAAAGTGTTTGTTTAAAGGTAAAGAGTGTTATTAATAATTTTAAGCTTTGCTGCTTCAGTTGAACATTTTAATAACCAGGCAGCTCTCACACAGGTCATGCAGTTCATGCAGCTTTGAACGAGTGCATTTGTGACTCCTCTTTTCATGTCAAGGAGAAAGCTTTGCTTAGACATTTAATTTAACCACCTTGGAGGTAGATTGCACAATGTCTGTGTATCGTGTGCATAGTGTATTATGGTGCAGCTATGATGCATGCATGCAAAAAATTTCATTTTGAACTTGAATGAGCCCTGTTTTCTCATTTTAGCTGTTCTTCTTTTCAGGCCCACCTTGTGGCAGCGTTTGAGCAGAGTTTGGGCAACATGACCATCCGACTGAAGAGCATCACCATGACCGCAGAACAGAAGGTAAATATCAACACACTTGCATTTGAATTTATCACATTTGTTCATTAATAAACTTAAACGGAGCATGATTTTATAGATGCATTGTCAATAAATATATATGTGTATGTTAGGATTCTGAGCTGAATGAGTTGAGGAAAACCATTGAGCTGCTAAAGAAGCAAAACGCAGTGGCTCAAGCAGCCATCAACGGCGTCATCAATACTCCAGAACTCACCTGCAAGAGTGAACGCACAGGTGAGCAAAATAAAATAATCATTATTTTTCAAATTTGACTTCATATTTGAAATCTCTGACATTTGACATCTGACATATTTTCCTTTAACGTGATTACATTTCTGTTTTAATACAATTATGTATTTTGAGCAGTCTGTATATACTCCTCAGACATTGTTGTGTTCTGATTGGTTGATGTATTGTACTGTATTGTTTAGTTTTGCATTTTGAACACTAAATGGCATGCTTGATGTCAATTAAAAACTCTCTGTTTATCAGGTAATAATGGAGCGCAGCCGGACCTGCGCATGCGCAGACAGCACTCATCTGACAGCGTCTCCAGCATCACCAGCGCCACCAGCCACTCCAGCCTGGGCTCCAACATGGACAACACCGACTCCAACAGTAAGAAGAAGAAGAAGAACTGGGTGAGTACACACTCCTCTCATCAACAGTTAAAGAGATGGTTCACCCAAAAATGACAATTCATTTACTCACTCTCATGTTGTTGCAAACCTGTATGAGTTTCTTTCTTCTGCTGAATACATAAGAAGATATTTTGAAGAATGTTGATTGCAGAGCAGTTTCCAGTCCCCATCTATACTATGGAAGTCAGTGGGGAGCATCAGTAGTTTGGTTACCCATATTCTTCAAAATATATTCTTTTATTTTCAACAGAAGAAAGAAACTCATACAGGTTTGGAACTACTTGAGGCTGAGTAAATGATTTGACAGAATTGTCATTTCTGGGTGAACTATCCCTTTAAAGAAATGTTTAACCGTTGCAAACCTGTGTGTTTCATCATTCTGCATTTTATTTGTCTAATGTTTGTCTTTTATGTTTTTGTCTGAAGTTGCTAAAACTTCAAAATTATTCAATACTACTAACAAACATCTAGTGTGATATTTACTTTTATACTTTTCCTGAAAACAGTATTAAATGCAAAAAATTAAGGACCTACCTTATTGTAGTGTAAGTTAGTTTACCATACATATATTGTACTTCCTGTTTCGCTGTATCATGCTATGGCTGTAGCTGGTGACCTGTGCTGGAGTTGACGTGTCAGATGATGAATATGAATATGAATACGTATGTTAAAGTATCATGACAAGTCACCCTGTTATATTTAGTCAAGTGTAACATTGATAGGCCAGCAGTCCTTGTTGATTTATATACAATACTGTTCAAAAGTTTGGGGTTGGTAAGATTTTTTTCCTTGTTTTCGAAAGAAATAAAAAAATGTATACATGATGAAATTGATTAAAAGAGACAGGAAAGACATTTACATTGTTAAAACAAAATCTTATGCATGAATTATGTATGAATTCTTATGCAGCAAATCAGGATATTAGAATGATTTCTGAAAGATAATGTGACACTGAAGACTGGAGTAATGATGGAAATGCAACTTTAACATCACAGGAATAAATTACATTTTAAAATATAATCAAATAGAAAAGAGTTATTTGAAATTGTAATACTTTTTCACTATAATACTGTTTTCACTGTGCTTTTGATCAAATAAATGCAGCATTGGTGAGCCTAAGAGACTTCCTTAAAAAAAATCTTAGCAATCTTAAACTTTTGAATGACAATGTACACCAAGAGTTTGAGTTGTTGTTTAGTGTCCCAGTTTGTGGTGTTTTCTAGTTAGCAATTATTCTTAGATTGAATTTAGTTGTGTTTAAGTTATTTAGCTTTGTAGGTGTGTCACTGTACTTTTAGCAAAAACAGGTAATTTTAGCCTGGTGGTCCCACTGGCCATCTAGTGTTTTGGAGAATGGTAACCACCAGCTTAACTAGGTCCCTATTCCTGCAGTCGATTTGTGTTATTGCGTATGCATTGGTCCTGGGTTTGGGTTGGTCGTTAAGTGAAATGTAGTTTAGCGAGACTCTCTGAACTTAGTAGTTCTTCCTGCAGATTTAGTGGTAGACATGCAGCTTGTGCTTCAGAACCCTTGTGCAGGACACAAACACACGGCTGAATGTGCTTTTCTGTGTGTCTCTCTGTTTCTCGCTGTGCTGTCACTTCATATGGCAGGTGTATGAGGTAAGAGTGTGTGTTCAGAGAATCCTGCACACCTGTCTTTGGTTAACCCAGCTCCGCTCCGCATCACACCACTAACCCTGCTAACCCTTAGATGTACTGCTCCTCAGCCTGCTGTCTTTCTCACCTTTACACTGTCCTTCTGACCCCCTTTCCCTTCTTTTTTCTTCTCTTCCTTTCCTATTTGAAATGATGTCTCATAGTGAGTCATTATATTTATTTATAAAATTAAGCTGATATTTATTTTATTGTATAGTGTCGCATAGGACAGCAAAGTCTGCAAAAATGTTCCTTGGAATCATGAGTTCCCGATGTTTGAATTATTGATTTTATATTGAGATCTTGATCATGAACTTCTTGGCTTTGAGTTCTTGATTTTGAATGCACTGATTATTAATTCCTCAATGTTGAACTTATTTATTATCAATTTATTGATTTTGAACTTTCTTATTTTTTTTTGTTTTGTTTTTTAAACTTGGTTTTACATTTCTTGATTATAAACATTTTGTTTCTAAACTTCATTTTGAATTTAGCGTTTTTTTACATTTTAAACTTCTTGATTATGAACTTCCTTATTTCTTTTTTTTTTTTTTTACTACAATTGTGAACTTCTTTTTTTTTTCTTTTTCTTTTCTCTTTATTATGAACTTTTATTTTTATTTTTATTTTAAACATCTTTATTTAACATTTTTTATTTTCGTTTTTTGTTTTAAACTTATTGATAATTAATATCTTGGTTTTGCAACTATAGACAAATAGATGTAAACGGTTCTCAAAACATTCAAGTCTATGCATAAAAACAGATAAAAAGGCTGCCTTTTTATTTTGTGCTGTTTTTCCCTACTTTCTTTCTCTTGAGGTTTTACTCCTCTGTCTTCACTGTATTGCTTTTCCTGCACATATTTTATTGCTGCGTAACCTAATAATTTTTCAGAAACTCTCAGCTTAATTATCTTCTCCCTGCTTTCTCTGTTGTCGTTGAAGCTGCGGAGCTCCTTCAAACAGGCCTTCAGTAAGAAGAAATCACCTAAATCAGCCTCGTCCCACTCAGACATTGAGGAGATGACGGATTCCTCTCTCCCTTCCTCTCCCAAACTCCCTCACAACGGCACCAGCACCTCGGCGCTGCTGCTCCGCAACACTGCCTTTTTTGCAGGAAGATTTTTAAAAAATGCCCCATTTGAGAGAGTTTTGTTTTAATGATATGTCTTCTGTCTCTCACAGGACTGCAGGACTCGAGACTACCTGATTGGCTGCATTGGTGTCAGTGGAAAAACCAAGTGGGATGTTCTGGATGGAGTTGTACGGCGCTTGTTTAAGGTACATTCATTTACATGCATTGCTGTAACATTTTTGTTGACGATGAGTGGTTTACATTCAGAAACATTAGACAGTGGTTCATTAAAATATTTTGATGAATTATTTTTTGGGGGGTGCTTAGTCTCTATATACTTCAGAAAGACTTTTTCATCGAGGCATTTAACATGAAGTGGTTTGCGAAAAGTGCTCTAGTTTAATTTCTGAAAGATGTGATATCAACACACAGTATTATCCAGCCACATGAAAGCAACTTGTAAGACAGATGAATCTCATGAAGCAATGCTCAGGTCATATTTTACTCCAAAAGCAAATAAAAAAAGAAGGAACGAAATTACATTTTGCTTAATTAAAATGAAACTGTTTTTGTGAATACACAGTATTTTTATATTAAAGGGTTAGTTCAACCAAAAATGAAAATTATGTTATTAATTACTCACCCTCGTGTTTTTCAAAACCCGTAAGACCTTCGTTCATCTTCGGAACACAATTTAAGATATTTTTGATGAAATCTGAGGGCTCTCTGACCCTCCCATAGACAGCAAGGTAACTACCACGTTCAATCCAAAAAAGTACCAAGATGATCGACAAAAGTAGTCCGTGTGACATCAGTGGTTCAACTGTGAAGTTATGAAGCTACGAGAATACTTTTTTTGCGCAAAGAAAACTAAAATAATGACTTTATTCCACATTTTCGTCTCCACTGCGTCCCTTTAAAATATGCACAAATTCAGTACAACAGATACTACCGTTATTACACTTACAATCGTACTTTATAAATGTATTTGACTATTTAAATATGTATTTTTTATATATACAGGTGCATCAATAAATTAGAATGTCATGGAAAAGTTCATTTATTTCAGTAATTCAACTCACTGCGTCACTTTTGACGCACGTTCACGACAGTCACATGACGCGAGCTTGTGGCGGTGCTGACCCAGATTCTCGTAGCTTCGTAACTTCACAGTTGAACCACTGATGTCACACGGACT